AGCGCCTGGCAGGGGCTCACAGAGACCCCCGGATCCAGATGCAAGTTCATATATCCACCTTACCGAATCGATATGTGATCAATTTTATCAATCCCGTCGCTTGAATGACGCCCGGACTGCTTGAGACGTTGTAACGGAGGAGAAACAAAAACCTTCCGGCGACCTTTTTTTTCTCTTCTTTTCTGTCTATTGTGGATCATTTTCTCTTTGGAATCGGAATGGATTGATCATTCATAAGGACAGCGCACATATTGGCTTCGAGGGAGTAAGATGGGGTGTTTGGGGAGCAGTAAAACCGAAGACCAGCGCATCGACGAGAAAACACAGCGAGAGGCCAACAAGAAAATAGAGAAACAGTTGCAAAAAGAGAGACAGGCTTATAAAGCCACACATCGACTGTTGTTGTTGGTAAGAGAAGACTTGAGGCGTTATAGCTGACATACGAGACCCATCCGAGGCTGTGTGTTTAAACGCACCGTGTTTGACAGCTCAATCTGGCATGTCGGATTGGACATATGAAGAACACACACCGTGATATCTGAAGTATATCTGAGAGACTTTGCATGTATTCTCACTGCTGTTTTTCGTTGCTTTCGTAGGGGCTGGTGAATCGGGCAAAAGCACTATCGTGAAGCAGATGAAAATTCTTCATGTCAACGGGTTTAATGCGGAGTGAGTACATGTTTACTGTACTAATGTCACATATGTGTGCATGGAAGGGCGGTATATGAAGGTTGGGCCCTGTGTTCAGCCTCGGCATGGCGAAGGAAACACTCGTACATGCTGAAGCTGATAGTGATGTAGCACTGCGTGCTATCGGCTAGTGCTTCACTGCAACATCACTGTTAAATGGTCATACAGAATCTGGATGGAGGTAATGCATGGCTGAGAAGTGACTAAAATCAATTACCAAATGCTCACCAGGCCTATGAGTGTTCAAGTTTCTTAAACAGGTTTTGCATCCTAAAAATATGTCTAAATGACATAACTTTGTTTGGCAAGTTATGCTTGAATTTGAAAAATACATATGCATTTATGGTCAAACTTTAGATTAGGGTCCAATTCTTACTATTAACTATGACTTTTTGCCTCAGTAAACTCCTAATTAATGCTTATTAATAGTTTGTAAGGTAGTTGTTACCTTTTGGCACAGTATTAGTTAGGAATTGGGATGGATAATCTGTGCTTTATAAGTGGTAATAAACAGCACTGGAAAAAAATATTGTTGGTTTAACTTAAAAAATTTAGCAACCTGGCTGCCTTAAAATTAAGTTCATTGAAATGGAAAAATTGAGTTAATACAATGAATGAAGGAGATTGATTTAATCATCAGAAACTCAAAATATTATGTTACCTGAACTATTTAAGTTGATTTGACAAAAGAAAAAATGTTGCAACTAGTTACTAGTGAGAATTAGACCCTAAACTAAGGTGTTACCATATATATGGGGGGAAATAATAAGTCAATAAGTCAAGTTTAGCCAAAAATGAATATCGTAATGTCATTCCAGTCCGTATGCTGTTTTTTTTTTTTTAATGTGCAACACAAAATGAGAATTTGTGTCCAACTCCAAACTATATTTATGTTTCTAAGTGATCAACATGACATTTCAAGTCTTCTGAAGTCATATGATAGCTGCATTTGAGGAACTGTCTGAAATTTAAATCTTTCCATTCACTTCAGCTGTCATATTTCATGAAACGTCACGTTAGGTGGTTACGTTTTGCCAGAAGCAATGATGTTTGGCATCAATAAGTTTCAGGCTGATTCTCACACTAAGCCATCACATGTCTTCTGAAGGCTTGAAATATAGTGCTCAAGTCATACATAATGTTTTTGTTGTTGTCATTATTAAAAAAAAAAACATAACACACACATACAGGTTTGGAATGACACGAGGGTGATTAAAACCGTGACAGAATTGTTATTTTTGTGGTGAACCATTCCTAGAACGAGGTGTACAATTCAGCCTTGCATTTTATTTGACTAAACTGAAATGTTTTCACTCATAGGGAAAAGAAACAGAAAATTCAAGACATTCGCAAGAATGTAAAGGACGCCATCGTGGTAAGTGAGCCGTTCTCAGTCCTGATTTAGTTTCTCGAAGTTTTCTATATCTAATCTCAGTCTCATAACCCTTTCATTTTTATTTCTAGACCATAGTGTCAGCAATGAGCACTTTAATACCACCCGTCCCACTCGCTAATCCAGAGGACCAGTTTAGGATCGACTATATCAAAAGCATAGCGCCGCTCTCTGACTTTGATTACACACAGGTAAGGAGTCTCATTTTCATCATTTACCTAAGATGCTTTCAGTGACATTTGAATTTGTGTAAATGTGTTGAGGTTTTTGAACCGCTTACCGAGAGGTTTTCGGACTCTTTTGCATGATTGCAGCTTTATTAAAATTATGAATTGGTCTTGGTCTTTTTTTTAAATCGCGTACCTGAGGTAAAGTGCCTGCCGCTAGCTAAGAGTTTGGACGTGTTTCTAAGGAACGTTACTTTATGGATTGGGAAGATAGATGCTGACTGCTTTGTTGTTGTTTGAGTTTGCGATTGGTAAATATTACAATTTTTAAGAATATGAATAAGGCCCAATAATTTTATCAGCAAGTATGGGAAAAAGTTCTTGCATTTCTAGCCTAAGTAACGTTTTAATGCATTTACAGACATGCTCAGTTAGCATTTTCTTTGTATGTGTATTATTTTACACACATTTTCAACAGTACTCAAATTATTGTAGTTATATTGAATGCTAGTCAAAGTGAATGTTTTTTTAAAATTATGCATACTTTAACATGATTAGCATGTTGCTACGATAGCTTGCGTTCAGTTTTTGGTGTGTCATGCATTGTTGTTGTATCTGTGGTTTGTGAGCACATCAAGTCAAATTAAACCACAAGCTTTTTATGTTAAATTACAGGTTTGTGAGAAATATTTTGAGTTTATATGTAGGATTTAATTTCGAAATTGTCTAATCCAGGAGGCCTTGACTAATCCACGGGACAGAGAAACACAATGTAGGTTTTCACATTAAATAAATGCATCAATTGCTTTTAGTTATCAAAAACTCAGGATAAATATAGTATTTTTGAGATTGTCAGTGAGTGATTTTTTTTTGTAATGAAGTTCCTGTCTGGCATAGGTTTACTCTAACCGATATTTTTACCAGTCATGGAAAAGTTGTCGATGTCGTTTTCTTCCAGTGAAAAATGAAAAATCCCATTTGATCTGAAACTGACACTATTAAGTTCTCTCTCTCTGTCAAACTGATGCAGTGCTAGGCTAGCTTTAGCTTAGCATATGTTTCTGCTGTGCTTGAGTTTCGTTTGTTCGCTTTAGACCGTGTGCAATGGGGTCAGTTATTTTCATTATGATTTTGTTGTGATATTCTAGCACATTTGACGCCTTTGCAGAAAAGTGTTCAGCCGTCTTCAGCCTGTGACTTTTTTTGATTGCACAAATGTTGGCTCTTCTTTTTCAGATTGTCGTTTTTAGACCGTGTGGACTCTGCTTGAAATGGAGATCTGTAATTAGACCGTTTTAGACCCCAGATCTTTTCTCAGCTCAAATTAAGTCCTGGATTTCTCTTTAATTAATTTATGGCAGACATCTATACTCACCGGTGAATTCATACATCTTAAAATGTTTTGACGGTTGGATTGTAAATACTGGAACTTCCAGAAAGTTCAGTTCTTATTTAGAGAGTAGTTTTCTGTTTACTCTTGGGTTCAACAGGTGATAGATACAATATTGACTGCTAACATGCATTATTTGTTTATCTTAAATTTGCATAAAATTTGCAAGATCACACTGGAGGAAGTACTGAATCCAGATAGAGATTTCAGTAACACTTTACAATAAGGTTTCATTTAACTGCATTAGTTAGTATGAACTAACAAGGAACAATGCTTCTACAGCATTTATTAATCTTAACTAATGGTAATCACAACATTTACTAAAATATATTTAGTATCCGTTATTATTAGTTTATGCAACCTTTGAACGAACATGAACATTTTTTAATCATTAACATTAAAGATTAATGAATGCTGTAAGAATATATTGCCCATTCTTAGTTAATGCAATAACTAATGTGAACAAATGTATGGGTCGTTTTTTGGGGAACGCAAAAGTTTTGTGAGAAAACGCAAAAACAATGGAATATGTGTGTATATATATATATATATATATATATATTTTTTTTTTTTTTTTTTTTTTTTAAATCACCATGTCTCTTTAGAGTCTCTGTACAAATGAGTCCTTGTTATGAAGTAACTTATAACAATGAGATTTCAAACATTAACACAGAACTGTTCCTCTGCTGTTACTTCCTTCAATAGATATTCAGTGGTTCATGAAAAATATATTTACATTTTTCTACTCCAAAATTCTCAAAAATATTACAAAAAGTCCAAGTTTTAGGTCGACGCAGACAGCAGAGAGTAGACTGGACTAGGATTGTTACATACATGTGACATGCTTTTGTTATTATGTGCAATAAGTGAAGTTACACTGATGTTAAAATCACACTTACTTTTTAGGTAATGCTACAGTAAAACACCGCTCTTCACTTTCAGAAGTTGTAGGGATGCTTTCTTCACGCAAAAAAAGAATGTGAAACATTTATGTTGGTTGTATAATTTTCAGGTTAACTAACTAAAGTAGTCTTATTTGTTTGCAACTTTAGCTTTGTTTTATTTAGCTTTAGCTTTATGTAAAGTTGCAAACAACTAAGAACAAAAACTAGCATTTGAATGCTTGCATGATGAGATGTGTGATCAGTAAGTCTATTTCCAGAACAGCCAAAAGGCTTTTAACCAAAACACATTTTATGAATGTAGCTGGAAGTATGTCGTGGTATCAGTTCAAACAATCGCTCTTAAATGAAGTGAGGCAGACTTGGTTCTAAAAATGGTTGCTAAATTCAATGTTTTAGGTTTTATAAACGTATAAACATTGATTTATTTTTGTCCTCAGGAGTTTTTCGACCATGCGAAGAAGCTCTGGGATGATGAAGGCGTTAAGGCGTGTTATGAACGGTCCAACGAATATCAACTAATCGATTGTGCGCATTAGTAAGTATACGTTTTATCATAATAGTTCACTTTAATTGAAACCTATGATGATGATGCTGGCATAATTCAAATTGAAGTTGATTGCATATTGCTTAAGATGCAGCTGCAAAATGTCTTTTTCTCTGTTGATATTTATGATATTAGCACAAATAAGAGGAACCACTGGTACAAATAATTAATCACAGCTATTATTCACGGCCCGTCATTTGGTTTTACTGATGTTTTTAACAGAATCTCTTAAAGGGATAGTTCACTTTGAAATTATTTTTTGATATGTTTTAGCTTACCTTAGTCTTTGTTTCCACAGTATTTTCAATTTTGATATTTTTAGGTCAAACTGTTCTTGTCTGTCAGTCATATAATGGAGGTCTATGGTCACCACCTCAAAGAGCGTGCACAGAGAAGTCCAAATTAAACATGATTTAATGACTCGTAAATGTAAGTACACATTGATGGCCTAAGACACGAAACGAGCGGTTTGTGTGAGAAAACGAACAGTATTTATATCGTTTTTTACCTCTTGTAATCACAGTCACGTCCAAGTACTCTGAGGACGTGGGCGCTTTGGTCTGCGCTCGTTGCATTGATACACATTGATAACCGCTCGTTTCGTGTCTTAGGCCATCAATGTGTACTTACATTTATAAGTCATTAAATCATGTTTAATCTGGACTTCTCTGTGCATGCTCTTTGAGGTGGTGACCATAGACCTCCATTATATGACTGACAGACACGAAACGGTTTGACCTAAAAATATCAAAATTGAAAATACTGCGGAAACAAAGACACCTACATCTTGGATGCCCTCAAAGTGAACTATCCCTTTAATCCGAATTGTATTTATCCTGCGGTTATAGTGTGCTAATGTAAATCTAAAGGGAATATATTCAGTGTACATTTCAAGACTCGGTATGAGCTTGTTCAAAAGTTTGGGGTCGGTCATGATTTTTGCCATGATTTGTTTGATTATAAATAGGGAGATATTAATATTATGATTTGAATATATTTTAAAATGTAATTTATTGCTGTGATTTTCAGCATCATTACTCCAGTCTTCAGTGTCACATGATCCTTCAGAAATCACTCTAATATGCTGATTATAATTATCAATGTTGAAAAGAGTTGTGCTGATATTTCTGTGGAAACCGTGATACTTTTTAAATAATAGAGAATCCTTAAGAAATAAGTTCAGAACAACAGGATTTACTTGAAATCTGAATCTTTTGTAACAGGTATTTATTGTGACACTAATTTGGATAGGTTATCTAACTGACTAGTTGATTAGTAAGGCAAACTATTGTTGTTGTGCAAGTCACTGACGGCGCTGAGCTTTAGCTGTTTGACAGTGTGCATTGGAAAACATTCTTGGAAAAGTTGGATCTGTAAACCAGTTCAGACAAACAATGAATTAGTCCGTTTTGCAAATATGTAGTTTTGCACATCCCTGTAAGGAACGTGCCTGATCAGGTTCAGAAGAACCTTAAACCAACCTATTTATTCAAAGACGCTCAGGCAGCCGACTACAAACATGTCGTATATGTATTTAAGTTTCTTTGCCTTTGAAATGGAGACGTTCTAGGTGCGTGAACGTGTTTTTACGTCCACTGTTGGCTTTTTTAGGCCAGTGCTGACGTTTGTCCTGTACAACAGTGGCCGTGTGTCAGGTATGAAGTGTGAGGAGGGTGGTCGGGTCATGGGAGTTGGTCAGCCGCTCTGTAGGACGCAGATACCATCACCAGCTAGTGCAGGGCCTGACACATAATGGCGACTGTTGTCTCTCAGTCAGAAAAGGCCCGGAGATACTCGGAGAATCACACAGACACCCAGCTGCTCTCAATACAGGCTTGTTCTTTGTGGAAGACTTTTACAATACTGAGAATTCCTCTGTTATACAACTTCGAATCAATGTCTGCTCAGATATGTTTGCTTCGATCCAGGGGTGTGCAGTCGTCGAAACTTTTCAGATAAATCTAATTGCTTCCACTTTGTTGTACTTTGGCTCCGCAGAAGTCGCCCTCATGATTCTGGAGATGCGCAATTTATCTAAATAAAACGGAAATCGCGATTAAAATAAATAATACATTCATTTGTGAACACAACATGCGGCAACAATCTTCCCATGCCTGTAATGAGAGGTGCTTATCCACAAAAGTGAAGCTTTACTTTGAAATTAATTTTTGATATGTTTTAGCTTACCTCAAGGGCATCCAAGATGTAGGTGTCTTTGTTTCCGCAGTCGTTTCAATTTTGATATTTTTAGGTCAAACCGTTCGTGTCTGTCAGTCATATAATGGAGGTCTATGGTCACCACCTCAAAGAGCATGCACAGAGAAGTCCAAATTAAACATGATTTAATGACTCGTAAATGTAAGTACACATTGATGGCCTAAGACACGAAACGAGCGGTTTGTGTGAGAAAACGAACAGTATTTATATCGTTTTTACCTCTTGTAACCACAGCCACGTCCAAGTGATCGGAAGTGATATCTCGATATCGTGCTTACATTTACAAGTCATTACATCATGTTTAATTTGGACTTCTCTGTGCATGCTCTTTGAGGTGGTGACCATAGACTTTCATTATATGACAGACAAGAACGGTTTGACCTGAAAATATAAAAATTGAAACTACTGTGGAAACAAAGACACCTACATCTTGAATTTCCTTGAGGTAAGATAAAACATACCAAAAATTAATTTCAAAGTGAACTATCCCTTTAAGGGCTTCCTGTGGTTTTCAGTCCAAATAAAAGTTTGATGGTGTAACATTTGAAAATTAAGCAATTAAGAGATACTTATATTGGTATTGTAATATAAATTATTTGAAAAAAAAAATATTACTATAGTATTTTTACAGTAGTAGTATTTCTTATTTTAACTAAAGTAGCATCCACAACAGCGGATGATATCGTTCTGTACGCTCTGCAGTTTTGTCGTCTGCCGCTTTAAATGCTCAAGTTCTTTAATGCAGGATGGATTCTGATTGGCTTAGGGCTGCAACAACTAATCGATAAAATCGATTATAATCGATTATGAAAATCGTTGTCAACGAATGTCATTATCGATTAGTTGGTCTGATTACGTCACGGGGATTGTTTACGGAACATGCGCTTCTTACATGCGCTTCATGAGGCGCACATGCAGTCTCTCTCCCTCGCCGCTCTACCCTGTCTCGCGCGCACAACACGGACAGTTTGGAGCACATTATCTTCTGTCTCGCATGCGCACTCTTGATTCAGTGAGTTTGAACTAATTTGCGGTCATCAGGAAACCGCTATCAATATGCAGCACACGAAAATCATTCACCTTTCGGTAAATTCGCCGTTTTGAAACCAAAATAGGTGACCTACGTTAATCGTGTATACTTTATGAAGCCATACTATAGTATAATGTGAGATAGAAATGTATATTTAAGTCATTAAATTCAAGTTAACCTAAGCTTTTCCCTCCACTGCGGCTGTCAGTCATTCAACAGCGCGTCGCGTTACAACAGTTAACATGATGATCTCTTTCCAATGATTCAATGTTATTATTATAATTGATCCGTAGATAAAGGTCTATGATGGTTTTTCTATCTTGCTAGACTTTTATTGCTGTAACTTAATCACTTTCTACTGAGTGTCTGTTAGATCACAACACTATAGTAGAGTCGGCGCAGTATAATTGTTCTTCACGTGCACAGTAGCCTAACTGAAATTTAAAACTGTTAAAAGAAAAGGCTTAATAAACTATTGCATAGATACTGTATACACTGTCAATATGTCTTTCTCTTTCCTTGGTGCTTTTAACTTTAATGCGGCGGACACTGAAGAGCTGCGCGCCGCCCAGTGACTCCGTGTTGCTTCAAGCGCGTCATTCAGTGCTCGCGATGCGCATTTGCACTCTGTGCAGCTCTTTCATGATCATGTCATAATACTTTTTAGCGCAATGAAAGCTTATTAATAGCCTTTCTTGTTCTGTCCTATCTATTATATTTTGCTTCCTCACTAAACAGCTTTAAAACAGCTGTGCATCTGATTTTACGATGTTTTTCATGAATGTATAACAACAATACAAATAGCAATGTGTACGTTTTACCAGAGTTAGTGCTACACTTCTTGTCTCTTATTTGTTCCCCACTAAGGAATGTTTTTTTCACTAAATGTTTAGATTTTATAAAATTATTGTGCACTTGTGATATTTCTAGGCTAAGTTTTGCTGAGTTATCCACTAATATAGTTTACAATAGCATTTTTGTCATAGGTTATGGTCATATATATTTTTTTTATTTGTTGTTTTTCTTTATAATGAAGTTATCTGTATTAAGTAGATTGTTTAACACACAAAAGAGTGTGGTTTTTAGGGTTTTATTTTGTTATAATAAACAAAAAATGAAATATAATTTTTTATCCGATTAATCGATTAATCGAAAAAATAATCGTCCGATTAATCGATTATCAAAATAATCGTTAGTTGCAGCCCTAGATTGGCTGTTCATCAGCTGGAAATATTTATTCTGAAAGTGATTCCAACTATATTTTTTCTCTGTGCCATTATCTTTATAGTTGTGCCGTCTGCCGTGAACTACTATATTTTAATATTTAGAATAATCTTTAGAACTATATTTATCGTTATAGATCTCATCCGCAGTGTGAACGGATTTAAGATTTAAGATTTTTACGCCTGTGTGTTTGTCCACCCAGGTGTTCATTAAATGACCTTAAAGTAATAGCACACACATTTCCTCAACAAACCACATGATTTGGAGGTGTCATTCATACAACACAAATGTTGCAGGACGAGTTATGCGCTAAAGTTAAAACACCAACCCTGAGTGAGAACAATTATAATATTTATGCTGGCTTTAGCAAACGCCTTTAATCCAATAATTATTATACCAGTAATAAAGTATTATATCTCTCTTTAGACTTTCAACAACACTATATATATATATATATATATAGTGTTGTTGAAAGTCTAAAGAGAGATATAATACTTATATATATATATACAATCTATAA